ACGCACGATTGGTCTCGGCCACTACTGTCCTGTGCAAACTGAACTGAACTGAACTGAATTCTCCTGTGGCCTTCTTAAGCACCATTTGTAGTGGCGAAACCCACTGACTTTGGGAAGGGCGTGTTATACCCGCCGTAGGCATTACGTCGAACTGTGCTTATGCTAAAGCCAACTTATCCGAAGCTAAACGACGTGCGCGACAATGTACTGGTAGGCCGTGAGTGACGATTATATGGGTAACCGGTGTGGTCACCGGGGGGGAAATTGTAGAAATTGGTTCAGAACAACCTTCTAACAAATTTTGCAACCAAGAACTTACGCTGTTGTTTAGGACGGGGCTTGTTGCCACAGTGTTATTTGCTAAACCTTTGACAGGGTTGGTGCTGTCGGGGAAGAGGCGTTTGCCTGTGTAGACAGTGAGGCCGTGATGTGCTAGAAAATCCATTCCAAGAATAGGAAAAGGGAATCCAGCAATCAAGAATGGCCACTCAACTGCTTTAGATAAGTTAAAGTCTACAGTGAGGTTCCTGGTACCAAATGTACGTATAGTGGAACCGTTTACCGCAGTCAAGTTGAGTGCTTCAGCTGGGAGCCTAGCTTCAGTGGAGAAAAGAGTAATGACACTCGCCTCCGCTTCGGTGTCCACGAGGAACTTCACATCGCTAATGGAGACCCTAACGTGAAAAAGGCGCCTCCCAGTTCGCGTGCCAAAGAATGACGCCGTAATCAGTCGTCGGCTTAGTCTTATCCTAAATGGATTTACATTTTCACGAGCACGGGTGGATGCATTTGGCACCATCTTTACTGAAACGTTCATGATACCAACAATACTGTTGACTATTTTTTGGTGACTTAGACCGCCGGCGGTTGCTCGATTGCTGTTTCCCACTGAAACTTGCGCCTCAAAATCCTCTATCCATGCTAACGTCGCTTGGTTTCTCGATAAATGCCTGGAGGAGGGCGTTGGCAGACGGGGCTTGAGGGACGGCGGAAGCACTCGTGACGACCGTGGGTTAATGGTATTGCATGGCGTGATATGCCATAACCGTCAAACGCTCGATGGGCATATCTTGCGCTAGCGCAAGAAGGAATGAAACGTCTTGTGAAGGTTTACTGTCGCCCAAAGGCATGTTCTGGAAAATGCGTCGGATACGCTCTTTATTAGAGCTTTCTGTGCGTTCTAGTATGGAATCGTGTAAGGCTTTGAACGGCTCATCTTCAGGAGGTTCTAAAACTACGTCCGAAACCTCGGCTATCAGGTGTTCTGACAACGAAGAGACGACATTGTGGAACTTGGTCTTTGAAGACTTGACATTCCTAGTCGCACTGAGGACTGCAAACCACGCCCTGGGGTAAGTTACCAAAAGGGGGAGATTGGAAAGTGACGACAACCACGGGAGAAGGTTCGTCGGGTAAATCTAATAAATCCTTGACGAAAAAGCATTGAATAATCGTATAGGCCAAATACAACCCCAAATAACTCTATCAAGTGATGTAATGTTTAAACAGCGATAATAGTAAAGTAAAAATACCAAAACATCGCTGAAAGTTTGTAAAGGAATAGAAAATGGTCAATAAATTCAAAATATATGGATCGGACTTACCAAAATCTGATGATTTGCAAAATGAAGTCAATTCGTGGAATGAGGGCCCAACAATTTAGTGACCAGGCGGTTGCTGATGTTCATCAGAACCTGTCACTAATTTTTTTTCACGTTCTCTCTGGATATCCGTCCCAATATGAAACAGAATCAGGGATTGAAATGGTAGAAACGTTGTTTGAAACTTCCGAAATGTTGAAAGTAAGTTTGGCTATGTCCAGTCTGTTATTTTAGAAACGGCAGTGGAAACCTGAAAGTTGATCTGATCAGTGCAAGAAAGTGTGCGACACAAAGCTCACTGTAGGGAGCTGTGTCGGTGCGGTCGTTTTTAGCTTATTAAAAGCACAATAATAGGTAAAGCGAAACCTAATCCTGGAAATGTCCAAGTTGCTGTACCTAATAAGAAACGTTCCTTGGAAGATCCTTATCGCCAAATATTGGCAATGTATGCTATATCTCAACGGTACACTTGATTGGGCCTGGTGGAGAAGGGTCATCAAGTAAGAAGGAAAAGCGTGACGTTAGCCAAGCTTTGTAATAATTCTACCTAACTGATGGGTGACATTGCTACTTGATATCTGAACCTTGATGGTTCTGACGAGTATGCCATGGTTATGTACCCATGTCCTGATAGTTCTCAATTGCACGTGACTGGTTGGAAATTGAACCTGTCTTGATGCTGGTCATTAGCGTAGGGTGAAGGTGATACTGATCCGTAATTTGATGATCACGTCTGGCTTAAACGGATCTACTAGGAAACTTAGAGAAAATTAACAGGCAAGAAAAAATTGCCTTTGCGAGACTATCGGTTGAAGAACCGCTACAAGGGCATTCCATAAGGATATCACCCTAAGGGTAAAAACTGAGGCACGCAGAGTGGTTCACGGGCGGGGCTTATTTTATTTTGCTTTGAACTCGGACGGGATTAGAGTGAGCAATGATGAAGTAGGGTTCAACAGTACTCGTGTCAGAGAGATGGTAGAGGAAGAATAGATCACCCCTATTGCGTCTCATTTCTACCGAGTAGATGCCAAGTTGTAGGCGATGTGTTGCGTAGGGGAGGTCTCTAATTCCAAGGAGGGATTTTTTAACAATAATAATAACGGTATATTTGACGAAGCCCGTGAACCATGCTAGTGCGCATGATCAAAAGTACAGCAATGTGGAAAATGACGGTTGAGACGAAAAGTAATAGCACAGAGAGGGTATGGACGTAATTTTCAAACGGGTACAGAAAACATCGTAAATGTGCATTGCGGTGGAAAAGGAACGCAGAGCGAACAAGGTCATATAATGTAGTACTAGGGGTGATTTGTAAGGTAGAGCATATCAAGTGTAAACGTTCATATTGTGAAAAAGAATTAACAAACCACAAAACTGGATATTGGAATACGCGCTCGAGGGAAATACACGGAAACGAGTTCAAAGAGCAGAAGGAGGATAGTGAAAAGTAAAGATTCATAATTTCGGAGGAAGAGCTGCAATCGAGCTCAAGAAGAGCACAGCGATTTGAAAAGAGACGGCAAATAAATAAACGGTTTCAAATGTCGATACAGTTGGAATGTCTTCTGTGAACACGGAACAATGGACTTCGGGGCTTCACCGTTAAAGGATTGTTTGGTTTATATTATTAAGGCGTTGGTCGCTTTGATATAGGACTGATTGCGCGCTACACACCTAACCTTCAAACACCTTGTAGGTGAGGCAAGGGGTGTGTTCCTCAACCTGGTCCGGAATGCGAACGCATGTCGTCAAAACGGTGGAGACAAACGCGCCCAACAACCATTGCCGGATCCAAATGGTCCATTGTGGGTGTGAACCGCAAGCCTTTGTTAGGCCCAAACCAACCGAATCCGAAACAAAAAGACGAAACTCGGCAGTCGGGGGTAATACCCAGTTCAGAAGGCGTGACGGGAAACACAACATGTTGGGAATGATTATGCGGAGAAGGAAAATGCCCGAAAGTAATATACGTATATACATATATAAGTAAAAGAAAACTCCACAACAGTAGATCATTGTGATCTACATGACAGGATGGAACTAAAATTTTGAGAATTATAGGTGACAAATCTAATGTAGGTTTTCACCTACGAGGTTTGTGTTCCAATGAAATACCTTTATAGCTCGAGCATTGTACTGATTAGAGATCGGTTGAAAGGTTATCACTGTTGCCTGATCAACACGTGTCAAGAACTTGAGCTAAACGAGTGGAATGAGAAACGAGACCAGAGGGATATCAAGTAGGGATTAAAGGGTCAAAATACTTTTATAATTATGTACCAAAAGGTTGTGGCGTTCCATAAATCCAGCTTTGAGCTGATTCAGTGTACTGAGCAGATTCCGGTTAAGAACGTGAACACTGCTACCTGGTTGGCAGGTATCACAGAATTGAGTCAAATCAGTCTAAAGAAATGAAAATAATAAGAGTATCAAGTAAGGATTAGAGGGTCACAATACTTGTATAAGTATGTACCAAAATGTGTTGCGTTTCACAGATCCAGTTTTGAATCAGTGTACTGATAGGATTTAGATTGAAAAAGTGAATACTGCTACGTGGTTAGCATGTTCCACAGAATTTAGCCTAATGTGTCAAATTGAAGCGAGATCAGAATGATATCAATTAAGGAATAAAAGGTTGCAATACTCCATAAGTACGTACCACAATATTTCGTATACGAAGATCTATTGTCGACGTTTAGTAATCTAGCCCGCTTTCACAAGCTAATGATTCGTCGTGGTGATTGTGCAGTTGGGTCATTTGAGATACAGTCAGAAACCGACGGATGTGACTCCTAAATGCTGAGGGGGACGTTATTTGCATTTTGTAGCGGCCCTCTGGTTGCACTCTGTGAAAGACTTTGGAAATGTCCATTTAAATGACATCAACTCCTTTGCCTTGATCTACAGCATAAGTCCAATCGTCCCGAGCCAAAAGCAGATTAGTTGCACAGGAACGATTTTGTCGCAACCCGCGCTGGACTGGATATAGTAGGCCACTTTTCTCCAGATGATCCATTACGGAATCAGCAACAATAAATTCCATGACTTTGGACAACACTGGAAGCAGCGTGACTAGTCGGTAGTTGGCTGGGTCACTACGGCAGCCACCTTTGTAAATTGGTGAAATGACGTCGTTTTTCCACACCTGAGGAAGCACGGTATCTTCAAACGGTTTTTGGTATAGCCCACCTAGAGGATCGGCTATGTGACTTGCCAGAGTGATAAGGGCTTGTGAATGGATGTTATCTAAACCCGGTGATGAGTTCTGCTTCAAAGCCATGAGCTTAGCCTTTACCTTTCCGGGGGAAAAGATAATGTCTGTTAGTAATGGGTGAGGAATATGTTCCAGCAAACGGGGAAGTACGAACCCAGTGTTACTGGGCACATTGACCACTTGAGAGTACTGTAGCCTCAGCATTTCTGCAGCCTCCTTGGTAGTCAATGAAACACGTCCTGCTGATTTTAGTATCGGAACACCGTGTTTAACTTTCCGGGAAGCGTTTACAGGCTTATACAATAGCTTGGGGTTTGCAATAAACTTTCTCGCCAGCATATCCTGATACTTGTGTTTGTCTTCCCGCACCAAATTTGTACAGTGGTTCCGAATGAGCCTGTAAGCTTCCCACGTGCTGGGGCATGGACGGCATTTGAGCTCCCTGCAGTGGAAGTCCCTTTGCGTTATCCATTTCCTAGTTCGACTGCGAATTGCTGTTTTTCGAACAGTCGGTCGGCGTAGACGCTTGACGGTTGTGACAGCAGCCACCAATGTTATGATGCTGTTAATAAATTTTCTCCAGGATTCCAGAGGATTGCAGGCTACATCAGGGGAGATCCATTGGATTCCATGAGNTTGGTAGTCAATGAAACACGTCCTGCTGATTTTAGTATCGGAACACCGTGTTTAACTTTCCGGGAAGCGTTTACAGGCTTATACAATAGCTTGGGGTTTGCAATAAACTTTCTCGCCAGCACGATCTCGGATGAGACCGCATTCTTCAACTTGGCTGCCTTACTCTTAGAGAGGGCGGAGATGTGTTCCGTAAATAATGGGAAAGTCGTCCCCTAGAATACGAGGGAACATATTTTTATGCAATCCAAGATAAGAAAATCGGCCTTGCTGATTAATTGGTTGTGATAAGAAAATACCAGACTGCCGTTTATCCAGAAACCAAGACTTCATATTGGTCCACTTGGAGTAGAATGTGTTAACCGTCTATCGCAAAGTGGTAGGAAGAGTGACGATTGAATGTTATCCCAACATACTTGTCATTGATAGAACAACACGAGTAGCGAACAAGCTCGTTTTCGATAACTTCATCCTGTGGGTAATACAATTATATAAATTCAGTGTACAAACTCGCAATAAATAATGTCAGAAAGAATATGCGTTGATTTAACGCTACGGAAGTGGTGAGGAGTGGTTGGGAAAGACGTGAAAAAACTGATAATCCATGATTAAGAATGGGTTATTGCGAAAACAGAGAAAGAAAGGGGAGTAAAACGGTCCTTGTTGTGCCTGTGTTTAACCAAGCCTGCTTGTGCTCCTTGATTATTTGATAACTGCCCTGAAAACTGTCTGATCGTTCTGTCTAATTAGCTTGCCGAAAATGAGCAAAAAAACAATAGGCACATGGAAGAAGCGAGGATTGACAATTTGTCTTTGAAAATCAATGACGACAAAGACCGGCTGGTGAAATGTGTACATAATCGGGCCGCAGGAAATGTTCCAGAGATCGACTTACCTAGGCGCCTGGTTAACAAACCGCATTTCTAGTCATCCTTGAACGGAAGATTTGCTTTTGGCTTACAGTAATCACCGTGGGTCTTTTGGGTCTTTCACATAGTTTCTTTTCAAGTTCCAGAATAATCTCATCGTCACGTCAGAACCCGAAGTCCGAAGTCGAGCAGTTGTTTTCGAATGATTCATAATCGTGCCTGTACATATCATATAAGGGTTTATTGTTAGTGGGAACACATTTCCACGCTGGGTCGAAAGGTCATTTGGGATGGGGAGAGGGGAGGGGTGGGATAAGCCCTATGTGTCTGTGTTTGGGTGAAACTTATTGTGATTGGAGTGTTGGTGGTGGTGGTGGTGGTGTTGATGACCAATTTGGGGCCAGGAGCCAGTGAAAACAAAGCTCGAAAAATACAGCTTATGCGACAAATTTCTGTTCGTGATTGTCAATTTTCTTCTTATCGGACAATAGTTCCGACATTTTGATGTTATCGCACCTATTCATCAGAAGAACTCTCGATCCTTTAACTAGTCTGTTTATTATGATGTCTCTACGTTGCTGGATCTCTTTAAGCACCTCCATATGTTTCCTTTTTAGTGGTCCTCGGGTATTAGGTATATGCTTGCGGTACTGGTAGAAACAGTTAACCAGTGTGGCTTTGAAACTCTAATTCATTCGAGGAGTTAGGTACTAAGTTATGCGTTTATGAGAAGAGGTTTTCGAACTGGACTTCAACTTCCAACTGGCTTATCTCCCGACGAGGATAACAAAACTTCCCACCGAGGGATAGGGCTTCGGTGAGAATGGGACTTGCTTAAATATCTGAAAGGTTATGCACGTAGCGTTCCGGTTGGGATGGGAAATTTGACTATGAGCTGCTTGATGATAGGCTCGTGATCGGGCCTATTGTTAACAGACATTTACGGCCAAATTAGAAAGTACAGCGTCGAAGCGAGAAATAAAGCAAATGAGTCTATACTGCCGCTACGTGGACGACGTATTCTATCTCACACCGAAGGGTAGGAACACGACAAGTTTGCTCCGTAGATTCAACGAAGCTCACAAATCAATCCATTTTAAGTTGAAAACTGGAGAAAATGATACTTTGGCCTTCCTAGATGTGGTACTCCTCCGAAGAGATGATGGTTCTCTAAAGCGTCAAATATATAGAAAACCAACTTGGACGGGACAATATACACACTTTTACAGCTTCGTCCCATTGAGCCAGAAGAGAAATTTAATTCCCAGTCTCACATCAAGAGCGCGAAAGAGCTGCTCTGACAATGTGGTAAATGAAGAACTAACAAAGATTAAGGACGTCCTCAGAGAAAACGGTTATTCTGAACGGTTCATTGAAAGAAACTATCAGGAAAGGCGACAATCTGAACAGGTTTATGAGGCCCAAAAGAAGAAGCTATTCATTCGTCTACCTTTTCAAGGAGATGCTATATCAGACCTCGTGAACAAACGTCTGACGCGTGCAGTGAAGCGCACAAAAGACCCACGGTGATTACTGTAAGCCAAAAGCAAATCTTCCGTTCAAGGATGACTAGAAATGCGGTTTGTTAACCAGGCGCCTAGGTAAGTCGATCTCTGGAACATTTCCTGCGGCCCGATTATGTACACATTTCACCAGCCGGTCTTTGTCGTCATTGATTTTTAAAGACAAATTGTCAATCCTCGCTTCTTCCATGTGCCTATTGTTTTTTTGCTCATTTTCGGCAAGCTAATTAGACAGGACGATCAGGCAGTTTTATCAAGGAATTATGAATCGTTCGAAAGCAATTGTTCGTCTTCCGATTCGTGTTCTGACATTTTTTCCAATAAATGTCTCGGGATAGACATTGTCCAATAGTGTTTTCCCGAACCGGTTCAGTTTTTGCTCCAGGTTTTTTCCGAACGTATATTTCTAACGGAAGCAGCTAGGGTTCGGATGAGGTTTCCATTACGCTCAATAGATACAAAACTGGCTAAATGAGTGTACTGACCTGTCCATGTAGATTTTCTGTAGACTGCTCTACCGGTTGTTCCGTCCAAGCGCTTGGTAAGAGGAACATCTAGAAAATGGAATTTATTGGCCATTTACATTTTCGACGTAAAACTTAGCGCATCGTGAGCTCGTTTAATCTTGCTGATCACCGTTTCCAGCAGTATATTTTCGTCAACCAATATGAAAATATCGTCAAATTGTCATTTTTGATTGGAAGATTCCAGTCCATTGACCAGCGTTTGATAGCATAAATTGAAGCCTGTAAGAGAAAAGCGTCTGTATCCCGAATGGTGAAATCATCGGCATAAATAGCAATTCTTGATGACACTACAAAGGTTAAATCAATCATATAAATAAAGAAGAGAATGGGGCCTAGAACGGATCTTGGGGAACACTGGTTGTGATTGGGCTGTACTGTGATAAAGATTTGCCAACCCGCACATTCAATGAGCAATTCAAGAGGAAGCTACGAGTAAGTGCTAGCAGGGAGTATACAATCCCATGTGCTGCCAGCTTGGGAAATATTCAAATGCCTTCGCAAAGTAAATGAATACGGCGTGAGAGGTCTTGCCGTAATCGTAGGCTTTGGTCAGTCTATTCATGACAGTCAGCATATTGGTGACACATGAGCTGCCAGGTAAAAAAGAAGCTTATTGACTCTAATTTGGTTCAGGATTTGATCTTTTATTAGTCTCTGGAAGATTTTGCTTGGATGCTGGTAAAGGAAATGGAACGATAGCGAACAGAGAAGTGTCTGTCACCTGTTTTGTAGATAGGGCAAATAACAACTTCTTTCCAGCTAGTGGGATAGTTTCCCTCGTTCATATTGCGTTGGAAGAGAAGAGTGTACGAGGCAGCTGGTACACAAGCCGACTACACCAGTAATCTGGGTTGGAAATTATCGGGTCCCATGAAGGAGTATGGATTAGTTCTGCGGAGTATCCTTCCAACCTTAACTTTTGAGAAGATAATGAAGCCTAGGGATGAGTTTGTTTCTAGCGGCTGCAGCATGGCGTGATTGAACACCGAAGGGGAGTTGAAGGTTTTCTGGAAGTGTGGTCGAAAGGTATCCGCCACCTCTGTTGGGGATGAAACAATTGATTCGTTTGATTTAGTGAGAGCTGTGGGCGAGAGGGAGGGCACACGCAGGCCACGGATTTATCTAAAGAAGAACGGTTAGTGTTTCCAGTATTGGTAAGGATAACTCTCTTGGTGTACCTCGGGTAGTCCCGAATTTTATGACTGCAGAGGTTTCTAACGTGTTTGAAAACATCTCCGTCGGCCATGAGGCAAGTATTCATGTATCTAGCAAAAGATTGGCCCTTGTATCCAACAGCCGGCGAATCGAGCGAGGAAGAGAGGGCTTAGCATTAGACGCACTTCAAATTCAGGGAACGAATTGTGAGTCTGCGAAAAAGCTGGCCTGCTCTACGTGCTTGACGAGGAAGTCAAGAGACATCTCAGAAGTAGGACAGATACTGCTTGTAACCTTTGGTAACAATCTAGCTCAAAGACTGCAGTCGCCGTGCTTCCTATTTGCTGAAGATGCTAAAATTGTAGGTAGGCCAACCGGGGATGTCATACAGCAGGACTTAGACACCCTCTATCCGTGGTTTGGGGCCTACTACCAAACGCCGGCAAGTGCACGCACTTGGTGTTCGACGGTTTCTCTGTAGTACGCTGCCTCAACCC